CGCAAGTGAAAGGATTTTGTGTTGTGAATATCAAATGTTAGAGCACAAATACGAAAATGTCAAACTATTAGTTCTAGATGAACTTTGTACTGACATGATTATCGGGCATGATATCCTCAAAGAACACTCTGGCATTCAAGTTGTCTTCGGAGGACCAAGACCCTCACTCAATATTTGTTGCTTGGCCTTAGCAAATGTGAACCCAGTTCCTTTATTTTCGAATCTTACTACCGACTGTAAACCTGTTCCCATAAAGTCACGTCGATATGCAACTATAGACTACGAATTCATTCAAGAAGAAGTAAAACGACTTTTAGAAGAACATATAATAGAACCAAGTGATTCTCCATGGCGTGCACAAGTACTTATTACCAGAAATGAAAATCATAAAAAGCGCATGGTTATTGATTAATCTCAAACTATTAATAAATTCACATTACTGGATGCTTATCCTCTACCTCGAATTGAAGAGATCATTATGCAAGTTTCAAAATATGAAATATTCAGTACCATCGATCTGCGCAGTGCCTATCATCAAATACCAATCAAGGAAAGTGAGAAAATATATACAGCGTTCGAAGCTTGCGGCAGTTTATATCAGTTCCGAAGAATTCCGTTTGGAGTAACCAACGGTGTGGCTTGTTTTCAAAGGACCATAAATAACATCATTCAAATAGAAGAGTTAACGGATACTTTCGCGTATCTGGACGACGTCACTATTTGTGGAATGAATAGAGAACAACATGATCAGAATTTGAGCAAATTCTCAAAGATAGCTGAGAAGTATAATTTAACAATAAATGAAGAAAAATCTAAATTTCGACTAGATGAAATAAATCTACTTGGATACTCGATCACCAAAAGAACTATCAAACCAGATCCGGAGAGATTAAAACCTCTACTAGAACTACCGATCCCGAATTCCAGTGCTGCACTCCGTCGAGTCATGGGGATGTTTGCCCAATACTCAAAGTGGGTCCCCAAATTTTCAGAAAAAATCAATCCACTCGTACATTGCAAAGAATTTCCTTTATCAGTGAAGGCTATCGCAGCATTTGAGCTCTTAAAAAAGACATATCTAATGCTGCCGTTACATCAATCGATGATAACGCTATATTCACTGTAGAAACAGATGCATCCGAGTTTGCTATCGCAGCCCAACTTTCCCAACATGCATTATTTTCAAGAACACTTTCAGCAACTGAACAAAGACATTCATCAGTCGAGAAGGAAGCGTATGCTATAGTAGAAGCTTTGAAAACATGGAGACATTTTCTAATTGGCCGACATTTTCGACTCATAACAGATCAAAGATCAGTTGCATTCATGTTCGACAACACTATTTCGAGCAAAATTAAAAACGAGAAGATTATGCGGTGGCGTCTCGAATTGTCTTGTTTCAAATACGACATCGTCTACCGACCAGGAAATCAAAACATAGGTGCAGATACATTCTCGAGAATTAGTTGTTCCACCTCGGCATCAGAAAATAGCAAAACTCTTTATAATCTGCATAATTCTCTGTGTCATCCTGGCATCACTCGTTTTTATCATTGGGTACGCTCTAAGAATCTGCGATACTCATCTGAAGATATTCGAAAAATAACAACATCTTGTCCCATTTGTGCAGAATTGAAACCAAGATTCCACAAGAATCAAGGTGTCCTCATAAAAGCAACATCAAGTTTAGAAAAAACTCAATCATGATTTCAAAGGACCCTTACCAACCTCATCGAATAATAAATATATTCTAACTGTTATTGATGAATATTCGAGGTTTCCGTTTGCATTTCCATGTCCTGACATGACCTCAGTAACAGTTATAAAATGTTTACGAGAAATATTTGCGATATTTGGAATGCCATCATACGTACACTCTGATCGAGGGGCCTCATTGATATCGAAAGAGCTGAAAGGTTTCTTGGAATCACATGGTGTAGCAACTAGTCGTACTACTGCCTATAATCCGCAGGGTAATGGACAGTGAGACAGAGGTTTAATGGAATCATTTGGAAAACTATTGAGCTAGCATTGAGAGCTCAGAATTTGAAAATTCATCAGTGGGAATCAGTTTTACAGGATGCTTTGTATTCTATAAGATCATTGCTATGCACTGCTACTAACTGTACCCCACATGAACGAATGTTCAGTCATCCCCGTAGATCTCCCAATGGCACTTCAATTCCATTGTGGCTAACCATTCCTGGCCCTGTACTACTCAAGAAACATGTGAGAGCTAACAAATATGAACCATTAGTGGAAGAAGTTGAATTAATTGAAGCGAATCCCGATTATGCATATGTACGTTATCGTTATCCCAATGGAAACGAGACAACAGTTTCATTTCGCCACTGAAGGAAATTCTACACAGATGAATAATGATTCACTATCGATTGTACATAGAGAGACAGATAAGGAGAACATAGGATCCAGTGAACTGGTGAAAGAAGTTCAGAATATAGATCAGAGTCGTTTTGGGAATGAAAATAATCCCATGTCTTCACAAGGATATCATGTAGGAACTATAGACTCTATGCCATCAGGAAATGAAAATGATCCTGTATCTACAGGAGAAGGGCAACATGTTGCACCTACAGACTCCGGGCCAGCAAATCGTCCAATTCGTAACAAGAAACCGCCGAGGTATTTGAATGAATTTGTCAGGTCCTAGAGGGGAAGAATGATGTAATATTCTCAGCTAGAATACTCTGTATTATTATTTATGTTATTGTTATTGTCAAGTTGATAAAAGTCGATCATTCTCAAAAGGTTTTCCTTACAATGCCCACTTCTGAAATCTTGTCCACTGGCTTTTTTTGACATAATGGCAACTTTCGGCAAAGTGTTCACCGATCTGTTTCGGCGTTTTCTTGTAAATTTGGCGAATTTCCCATTATTTGGCGTAGAGTCATGGACGCCCTGAGGAGGGTGCTGGATGAATGATCCATATTCTACTAAATTTCATTTATACCTGATATAAACAATAAAAGGACCCCTAAGATATTATATCCCAAACATAACATTCAGAATATGATACCTCAGTAAGCATAATTCCGAAGCTTCTTGTGCGTTTTCATTAGCTTGTATGGAACAAGCCCACATATTGTGATGATTATTCCACATATTTCCAAATACACGTTTTTGAATGGTTGAAATATAATCTGTGTTGATAATATGATAATCGGAAACATGATATGTTTTCGTTTTTGTATTTCGGCTGTTGATTCGCTACTGGATACCTACATGGCTGTGTTTTTGATTTTGTATTCCGCTTCCTCATTGGTAGTTTGATCAAATATAAAACAAAATGACATAAAAAAGATTTACGACTCACATGCAGCACGCTGTCATGGACATGGATGTCATAGTATTTTTATATCCAGGGTTAAAAACGAACAGTTTCTATATCAACCCACAACTTGACAGTAGCGTCTAGAGACTGAACGCATCAAATATTGCGAGCGATTCCGATCAATGACGAGGAGAGACGCGCGACAATATTTGGTGCGTCCTGTCTCTAGTTGCTTGGCAACTACTATACACAGCAATCGATGTATCGGCACGTATAGTTAGTTGCATAATCGACTGCAAATGAAAATGTGATATGAAATTATTGTAAAAACTTCACAATCGATAAGATTTCCACAAAATTCTCAAACACACAACATGTTTCACTAACACAGTAGCTTCGTCAGGTGATATACTGGTACAATGAACTGAACCAACGTTGGCTTGCTTAACTTTTATGTATCCTACTTTCCCAACTTGAAGGATTAATTACCTGTGGACAGGATCGATAAACCTCCATTTTCGGATATTAGGCACAATATCTACATTAAATTACGGTATACCGGATTAACTTGAAAGGGTTGATCGCAAATAAATATATTATTACCTACTAAGAAGACAAATTCAACAGTGGTGAACTATTGGGGTCTAATTGATCGTTGAGTAAAATGTCAAAATTTTTGAGTTTGTTGTTTTCTAATGATTCAGAATGATTGAGTTTCATTCCTTTATATTCTACATGTACAATTTCGAAATTATCATCAAAACTATGGTTTTCTTCTAATATATGGTTGGCGTATGCTGAATTTGTTTTCTTTTTGAAAAAATTCATCTTATGTTCATGAATGCGCTGATTAAACGTACGACCTGTCTGACCGATATATACCCTCTAGGACAAGATCCACAGTTGAGTTTGAATACCCCTGATTTTGCGAATTTAGAAGTTATGTCTTTATTATTTTTTCTACATTCATGCAAAAAGCAGAACTTTATTGAACTATATTTAGTGGAAAAAGAAGTTCTTTATTGCACTTAGTGCAATAAAGTCTTTATTGCACTCATCTGTCATTCTACTTCAACGTGCTGTCATCATGACAAACATTTTTTATATTCATATTGAAAATTGCACCAATAGGGTATACGCGTGTGAAAATTTTACACTGGAATATATTTTTGTTCCATTACTCATATGTATAGATGTCGAATTATACATCCGAAAAACATTATTAAGCACCGAATATTTAATATTATATGATTGAAAATCATAATATTTGCAACTTTCCGACCAACAGCCGAACTGCAGCGATGATTTCCGACTGGATGTGGCTGTTTTTATTTGTCATGTCAAACATTCATGTCCGAAAGATTGAAAATAATATAAGAAGAGAAAGTGAGGTTATGATTATCTGAGCTTGTAGTTCCTTTAATCTATCCTCGAATCTATCTCAAATATATGATCTCAATATTCTGAATAATAATAACTGAATAATAAGCAAATATCTACAATAAGAATGATCAAACAGGACTTCTTTTTGCATATTGTTTCAAATATATATTACCACCTATCAATTTATATCTCATATAGTTTTCCATATCTTCTTCAAGCTGAAAACGAAATCAAATATTATATTATTCTCCTAATAACATGAGGAACATAATCATTGATATATAATGGGTTTCACTAGGACATACTTGAACGTATACCTACTCACTTCGAAATGGTCTTCACAAACAAATCCTCTGGTTTTCTCGGATAAATCATTTCTATTTATGGCTTGCAACCATAATTTTCTTTTCTCTTTATTTTTATCACTCGATCCCACTGCCAATGAAAGGAATATTTTTCCTGGTGATACTTTTGTTGATGAAAGGCATTGCGGCACTAAACAGTATTTGGTATAAACATTATCATTTTCCATTTTCAAATTTCTGGCGTTTAAAACTGTTTTCTTCTCCTACCTCTTCTTCTTCTTTTTTTTTCAATCTGAATCTTGTCATTCTGTCGCGCTAGTCTATGGCTGTGCGGCCTTATACTATGAACGTCATAATAATCTGTGACTTCATATTTAGCCTCATTTGAATGAAATTTTTTAGAGTCACAAGCAAATTTGAGATTAATGAATGATATCCACTGTTATTATAAGGAAGAAGGAATATAATTTCGACTAAACAAAAAATCATGCGTATTCCTTATTGTTCATTCACTTTCAACATTGAGGTTAAAAATAAAGTTTGAGTTGAATTGTTCGTAACATTAGTTCCTGTTTCAATGCAAATCGATATTAATAATAAAGTATTCAAGTTGCGTTTTTCATTTTCCTACACCTAGTGCCGCACCTCAATAAATCATGTTTTGCTTTTTGCATGAACGTAGAAAAAATATTGTATGCAACTCGTGCAAAAATTGTTTATTGCACTCGACGTGTTGTCCAACTCGGCCTACTTTTTGCACTTGTTGCATAAATAACTATTTGATTACACACAGGCTAGTGAATGTCCCTCTTTCTGAAGTAAATTTCAATAAAGAACTCAATATTATTAAACAGATTGCAGTCAACAACGGATACAACGTTAATCGGCACTGGGACGAAGTAGCGCAGGACAAAATAGCGCAGGACGAAATAGCGCGGACAAAATAGCGCAGGGACATAATAGCGCAGGGTCATAATAGCGCAGGGATATAATAGCGCAGAGACAAAATAGCGCAGAGACAAAATAGCGCAGAGACGAAATAGCGCAGAGACAAATTTGAGCGCGAAAACGTAGTGCATCATCTATGATTACGTCAATTCGTTTGTCAGGGCATAGACTATTTCTTCAAATACTAGATGTTTCAAAAGGAGACTACCCTTAAAAACGAAGTAACTTAATACTAGGTATGCCGTTGGATTGTTAAAGTAGACCTATGATTAGGTTAGTTTGTTTGCTAGGGTATAGACTCATTTTGAAACACCTTGTATTTGAAGAATGAGTCTTTACTCTAACAAACGAACAAACCTAATCATAAATCCAGCACTCCATTTTCGCGCGCAATTTTGTTCCTGCGCTATTTCGTACCATTACTCAAGATGCATAAATGATTATACAACTCCACCCAGAACTATACTGGGTTACATTGAATTGCGCTATTTTGTCAATGCGCTATTTCCTCTATGCGATATTCTGTCCTGATGCGCTATTTCATCTATGCGATATTATGTCCCTGCGCTATTATGACCCTGCGCTATTTTGTCTCTGCGCTATTTCGTCTCTGCGCTATTATGACCCTGCGCTATTTCGTCTCTGCGCTATTTCGTCTCTGCGCTATTTCGTCCCTGCGCTATTTTGTCCTGCGCTCTTTTGTCCGCGCTATTTTGTCCTGCGCTATTTCGTCCCAGTGCCACGTTAATCTGATAGATAGTACTCTTTCTAAAAAACTTCATAATAAAGCTATTCCAGAAGTTTATCCTACCATCAAGAATAATAATCAAAATTATAGAACTTTAACCTATTTCGGATCATCAACTGAAAAATTAGCTTCATTTGTACATAAACAGGACTTGAGAGTAGCGTATAGAACAAATAACACGTTGGGAAGGTTTATCAAAAATAATAAGGACAAAACTTCTAAATTCGAAAAATCAGGGGTATACAAACTCAACTGTGAAGTTTTTACATTTGCCATGGATTTCCATCAAGTAACGGCCGAGTCAAATCAAAAAATATGAAATTATTGTTTTATTCATGGAATAATGAGTGAAATAAAAATACACCTCGTTTCATTGATGCCGTACAGCAATACCACTCGTCCTGTCTAACTCGCGGTGTTGCTGCTCGGCAACACAATTTCATGAGTGAATGAAGCGGCAGAATTATCTCGAATATTCAGAACATCGTGATATCACTTATGATAATCTCCTGAGAGGGGCTAGAGCATAATCAAGTAGGCAGGAATACAACGATATCCCTCTACCACGCGTACCAGATTGTTCTCGAGCATCCCAATTATTCTAACATGTATCAGCACAGTTATTATCTGACGTTGCGATGACGTTGAAACTAGGGGAAAGCATGTCTGATTTTCAATCAATGCCAGGGGTTACAGATGACCTTGAAAACAGCGAGAATAATTATTGACCATTCTAGACCATATTCACCAGAAAAAATCATGAAATTCATCTGAGTTTCAACCGTTTCAATCCTGATTCTCTGGAAAACGATCCCACTATAACTCTGGTTTCATATGACAAAATACAATGTTTGCCCACCAACGACCTGTCATATGACGTAATGCGCGAGTGGACTGATGCCTGTACTATTGGCATTCAGTTACTGTGTCGTTGGGGACCTGAATGAATCTATTTGTTGTTCAAAATCGTTAAATTTCAGAGCTCACTTCAAACGTACCGTCATGGCCGCCATTTGTCGATACGTCGAATAAATGGTGACATCAGCTTTTATGCTGTTTCGTTATTGGTCAGATAATCTTCCATTCCCACTCAAGAAGCAAGGTTGTCTAGTCATCAATTACAGGGTTTCTATAAATGATCGTAACATCGTAGTAGCCGTTGAAATATTTTCTCCATTTGCCGCCTTTCATTTATGGAGATTCACACATTCGAATTTAATTTCTGACATCAATCATTATACTGTCATAGCTGATAAACTCACAATTGTCAGTTTTTCGTTAAAATTTTCAAACGATTCTGTTTTCTACTTGGTGATTGTCGTGTTGAAAAGAGGGATGGCTTATTCCTCGGAGCAGAATACATTTATTGTAATGTCTTATTATCGAAATGGCACATTCATCAATGGTGGATGGAGTTACTTGGTAGTAGCCTGCAAGAATGAGTACCTGGCGAAATATCCTAATGTACAGATTCAAGAATCTTCTTTGAAAGCCCACATCAGAACAGTGATCAACAGATTCATCCAAACTGGAAACGTTAATAAAAAGAAATCAACAGGAAGGCCCCAAATATCGAAAGAAGTTGTCGAAAATCTAAGGGCGCGTGTTGAGCAAAATCCCCAAACGTCATTGAAGAGATTATCTTTACAATCTGGTGTGCCACTAAGTACATGCCACAAAGTGCTCAAGAAAAGATTGCATATGCACCCTTACAAGACCAGTGTACTACAGCAACTTCTGCCAATAGATGTCCACGTCGTCTGGAGTACTGCCAATGGTTCCAAAATAATCTCAACGATGACCAGCTATTGGACCTAACATTTTTCAGCGATGAGGTTTGGTTTCATTTGTCGGGATACGTGAACTCACAAAATTTTAGGTTTTGGAGATCTGAGAATCCCCACAATTTCATTGAGACTCCACTACATTCTCAAAAAATTGGGGTGTGGTTAGCAGTTTCTCGTAGGCGAATATATGGACCGATTTTTTTCGATGGCACTATCAATGGTGAAAGGTACAGACAAGTGATGTTAGAACCATTCATCAATAAACTTGATGATGAAGAAATTCGAGTTGGCTATTTTCAGCAAGATGGGGCCACTGCCCACACCACACGTGCAAATTTAGAATATTTACAAGAATTTTATGACAACGAGTTAATCCTTCTTTTCCAACACGTTCTCCAGATTTGACGCCTATGGATTTCTGCCTTTTTGGATATTTGAAAGACGAAGTATTCAAGAGAGACAATAATAACCTTGAAGAGCTGCAAGCCTCAATAACACATTGCTGCCAAAATATTGGCCCGGAAATGCTGAGGAACATTTTCGACAACAAACGGCGAAGAGTTTTGAAATGCTTAGAGAACAACGGAGAACATTTTGAACATTTGATGTAGGTTAATGAAATAAACCGTTATTTATTACTTCTTTGATAAATATTTTCGATTTGTTCCATTATTTTTCAAACTCCAATATTGGACTCTCCTTTCTTTGAGATACATTTCCATAGTGTATTCAAAACGATATAAAAAAATATCCTGTATATGATCATTTCGTCTCTTTTTGGTCGTTAAATGTTGTTAACAGCATTAGTAGAAAGCGGCAAATGGAATAAAATGTCAACAGCCACTACGATGTTACGATCATTTATAGAGACCCTGTATAAATAATCAAGTTATCAAAAAGATGTTAGAGTCCTGTCGTTGAATAAAACATAATGTCATGTAAATGTTTGAGACTTGACAACATTGTGCTGAATACTGAGAACTGACGAGACACCGTCCACAATTCGTGCGCAGTGTTGTCACGTTTACCAGTTCGAATGTACTCATAGTGTGAATCAATATAATAATTATTATTTACACAAAGGAAATATTTTGAGATAATGGGCCAGTGGACTTATAATGAATTATTGGCATTCAATAACTCCACTGTGTCGTTAGGGGCCAAAATTAATTCATGCAACACTTCTCACACCTTTTTTCATGTAATTAATGAGTGTATGCGTCGTTCAAAATCGTTGAATTTCAGTGCTCACTTCAAACGTACCGTCATGGCCGCCATTTGGCGATACGTCGAATAAATGATGTAACATCCTGTATGTACATATGTATTATGACATATGTTGGAGATAAATAGTTATCAGATTATGTCATTAAATACATCAATCACTGCCATCGATTTTATATATTTCTATACCTGAAAGATACAACAATAGGAAAGTTCAAGCAATTCTAGACATGCCAAGGCCAACTGATGTTGATGGCGTTCGTAGATTTCTTGGCATGGTCATGTACTATACCAGATTCATTCCAGATGCTTCAACCAAAACTTATCCGCTACGAAAATTGCTACAGAAGAAAGAAAAATTCAACTGGACCATTTCCAGTGAATCAGCCTTCATTGCCTTGAAGCAAGAAATTGCCAGCGATCAAGTTTTGGTTCCTTACGATCCAGAGTTGCCGTTGATACTGGCTTGCGACGCTAGTCCAACAGGAGTGGCGGGAGTTCTTTCCCATATAATTGATGG